AAGCGATGTGCGTGGAGAGGTTACATAAGTAACAAGGCTGGCCGGGTGAAGCTGGAATTTGCACTCAGGTCAAATTCTACCTGCCGTGTTCCTTACACACCTACCTGCTCCCCACTCCCCCACCCAGACCTGCCTGACCCCAAGGAGGGCGCCCAGCGTCTGACACAATCCCTCACACGGGGCCATCCTTCCAGCGGTGGGGCAAAACGACAGGGATCCTTGGAGCCAGTTCAGAAAGGCCAGGTCTGGGGACACCCATGACTCCCTAAGCAACAGTGGGCCTCCGTTTCCTGCAAGAATGGCCGGATATAAACATCAAGACCCCTGGGGCACTTGTTGGGTGGGCAGCCCCCCTCGAATCCCAGCTCCGTCACGCGGAGGTAGCAGCACCTGGTGCGACCCCTCCCCTCCTCCCCCAAGTCTGAGTCTGCCGTCGACCCCGCGCTCACCCGGGGTTCGGCTGCCGTCACTGAGCGGGTGCCAGGGGTCGCGGTCGGTGGCCACGAGAAGGCAGTCGGGGTCGCGCAGGTGCGCGCACGCCTCGCTCAGCCTGGCGAAGGAGAAGTGCTCGTCGTAGCCCACGAGCACGGCGCGCACGCGCGGGTCCTCGCCGGGGTCCCCCGCCAGGCGCAGCCCCGCGGCGCGCACCTCGGCGCGCAGCCCCTCGCCGCCCAGCACGAACACGGCGCCCGGCGCCTCGGGCGGCCCGGGCAGGCGCTGGCTCAGCAGGCGCGCGGCGCACAGCGCGGAGCTGAAGAGCTGCTCGGGGCGCAGCCCCCCGAAGCCCAGGCGCGCGAAACGCAGGGCCAGCTCGGGGCGCGCGCGCCGGCTGGTGTTGCTCACGAAAAGCGCCGCCTTCCCGGCCCGCGCTAGCCGCTCCAGCAGCTCCGGGGCGCCCGGCACGGCGCTCTCGCCGTTCCACAGCACCCCGTCGCAGTCGAACAGGACCCCCTGCGCCCGGCCCAACACGTCGCGCAGGGCCGCGCCGCGCAGCCGCTCGCAGCGCGCCATGCAGCCTGCTGGCTCTCCCGCGGCGGGCACGGCGCGCTCACCCGCAGCGGGCCCGCCTCCCGCGTCGCGGCCAATCGGAGCGCTGCACGGGCCGGGGGGCGGGGTCAAGGCTTGGCCCGCGGCCAATGGCGCGACTGCCTGGGAGAGGAACGCGGCAGGGCAGCTAGCGAGGCGCGGAGAAAAGGGCGGAGTCACGGCTGCCAGGGAGAGCGACCAATGAACAACTAGCCTGCTCCTCCGCCCCGCCCCTTAGCTCGGCTGGGCCAGTCTCCGTCGAGTACAAAGCGACTCTCTGTAAACCGGATGGCGGTTGAGCATCTAGTCTAACCTCTTAGAAGGGTGGGAGGCAGGCTGACTTCTTAACCAATGCTGAGCTGTGAAATGCACAGCCGCTCGCTTCGCACTCCTCAGCCAATCAGAAGCGCAGGGGAGCTGGTTGCTAAGGGAAGCCGGTGCTAAGGGAAGATGTCCTCTTGAGTCAAATACCTTTGCCTTTTGAACGGGGGTCCTCTAGCCTGCGAAGCCGGTGGGTGTGATGGGGGAGAGGCTCCTGGTGCCAGCTCAGGCGCTGGAGCCCTGGGACTAGGCCAGTGGATCTTCACCCCGGCTGCGCAGTAGAATCCCCTGGGGAACTTTTTTTATAAAAAGGGGTTTAATTTACATACAGTAAGCTGCTAGACCTGAAGTACACAGCCTCAGCCCAGCGACTTTCGGCAAAATGCCTTTTTAAAATACTGAGGCTGGAGCCTAGAGATTCTGGTTCGCCATATTTTTATGCAAGTAACGCTTGCATTTCCTTTTTTTTTTGCACCTGCCTCCTGAGTTTCTTGGGCCAGTTATATGCATAGGTGTGAAAAAAAACACAGTCGTTATTTCGGGTAGACGCATGTGAAAAAAAAATGCCATGGTAGTTTCGGGTGGAGTCAGGGCATGCCCGTTTCTTAATTACCCAGGGATTCTACCACTGTCCTGGGCTAGAGGCTGCCTGTCACCAGGGAAGGGAAGGAGGTGGAGAAGCCGAGGCTTGTTGCCCAGGGCTGGCCAGGGCAGCTGTGGGGGAGCAGATGGCTCCGGGCAACTTCCTGAGGTGCCTCTGTGTGGATTTGAGCTGTCCACTGAACACCTAAGTGGTCACCTGCACCACCCTGGGGCTTCAAGAGCAACACTATTGAGGTGGAAATTGTAGTATCACCCCCAGAGAGGAGAAAACAGGGGCACCAACTGCCCAGGAATAAGTCCAGACTGGAGATGTCAATCTAGGTAAGCATTGAGTTACCAACTGAAGGTCAGCGGTTTGAGGCCCGACGGCCACCCCCTCGGGAGAAAGATGAGAAGGTCCACTTACAGCCTTGGAGAGGCCATGGAATAGAACTGCTCTGCCTACAGGGTCGCTGTGAGAGGGCATCGACAATGGCCCTGGGTTTGGGGTGGGTTAGGGACCCTATAAGGCGGAGCAGAACTGCCTCTGGAGTCTCCAAGGCTGTAAATCTTTCTAGAAGCCGCCAGCCTCATCCTTCTCCCTCTGAGCGGCTGGTGGGTTGGAACTGCTGGCTGTGTGGTTAGCAGCCCAACACCTAACCACTACACCACCAGGGGTTGCTTTGGCACACACCAGATGCCAAAGAACAGCTTTGTTGTTAGGTCCGGCTCCTAGCTACTCCGGTAGGAAACACGGCTGGTCGGGCGCCATCCTCACCACCGTTCTTAGGCTTTGAGCTCGACGTCGCTTCGGCCCAGGGTTTTTGCTGGCTGTTGTAATTTCAGGCAGGAAGAAAGAACAGGAGGCCAAGGGTAATTGCTTCCCTTTGACGAAAGTGCCTTCTTTTATTTCAAGGACAGGAAATAAAACTAGCCTTTGGGCCACTGCTCCAGTTTTGTCCAAAATAATTTATTTACCAGCCTTACATAAAAAATACATCGGCAAGAGAAAAATAAACGTCCCGCGGGAGCAGGCAAGCCTTTCTTTCCTTCTTCCTTCTGACGCTCCCCTGCGACCCTACCAGCGAGTGGGGAGTTGGAGGGGGTGTCCCTAGGCCCGGGGTGGAAGAGGGAAAAAATCTGGAGGTGGGGGGGGGTTGTCCTGAGTCGTCCTCGCCTTGGGGACCGGCCCAGGGGGGGCGCTGAGGCACTTGTGGGTGTGGCAAGGGCTGTGTCTCTCCTGGGAGGGCAAGGTGGGGAGGGAGGGGGCCCAGGGGCTGGTCGGGGAGCCCGCTCAATCGGTCTCTGAGGCGAGGCTCCTGGGCCTGGGCTGAGGGGGGACGGCTGGGGGGCTGGGAACCTGGCCGACCACCTCAGGGCCCCCTCCCTCCTCTGTGGCCACCCCCAGGTCCCCCTGCCCAGGAATGCTCAGACCACCCTGGCCGAGGGAGGCCGATGGAAGCCGGTTCTGGCGCCGGGCAGGCTGGGGAGGCACGGGGGGCAGCGGGGGTGGTACTGTGGGGGCCCGCAGGGTGTTGCCAACCACCCGGCGGGGCAGAGCCCGGGGGGTCCCAGGGCTGCCAGAGCTAGGAGGCGGGGGTGGGGCTGGAGGGGAGGAGCGGGTGCTGGAGGCCTGGGGGGGCAGCGCGGTGGGCCGGGCAGGTGCTGGGCGCTTGACTGTGGAGCAAGGAGAGGGGAAGGCTCAGCACCCATGCTGCCTGTTCAACTCTACCCCCCAGCTCACGGCCCCCCTCGGGGGCCTCTGTCCCCACCATAACCCTTGCAGGGCACCCTGTTGCGCGGCTGCCTCCTTCCCCCACTTTCTCCCCACGTCCCTTCACTCCTCAGAGGCTTCCCCGTGACCACCCCGGTTACAGTGGCCACTTCGCACAGCCAGCTTCTGGGTCACATGTCCCCGTGTTGTTTCCCTCTGGTGCCATCTGGCCCCATCCTTCTCCACGAGAGCCCACCTCCCTGGCAAGCACCTAAGCCAGCCAAGGGCAGCTGCCCACCGGAGTGCTGCCAGGGGCAGGCCAGGCAAGTGAACTCCACTTAATGAACGCTGCTTGTCCACTCCTGGCCTGTGACACTTGGGGGGCGGGGGTATCACACAGTCCTCCAAAGCCCACCAGGATAACCCGACCCAGCCCTCACTGAGCTCCCCACTCCTACCTCCCAGCGCCATTGTGTAAGGTGGAGAGGGATGGGGTGGGGCTGGGTGCCAGCACTCTGGTCCCCGTTCTGCCTCCATCCACTGTGGGATTTGGGGTGAATTACATGTCCCTTGGGGCCTTAGGTTCCCTACCTTGAGCTCCCAGGACGGGCGAGAGGCCAGCCCAGCGGGCAGCAACAGCTCTGTGGGCCCTGAGCGGCTATGCTCAGCAGCTGAGTGGACAGCCCCCAACCTTCCTTTTTCAAAAAGCGTCCCCCCGGGGCCTGCCCTGCTCACTGCCCAGCGGCTCCCTGCTCCATCTACTCAGAGTCTACGCTGTCCCCCCGCCTTGGCTGGAAATGCCAAAGTCCTTAAGGCTGGGCCCACAACAGGTGCCGACTCGCCCACCTGACTCCTTGACCTCATCTGTCTGGCTCTGGACCAAGTGGGCAGAGGGAGTGCGCCTGAGGGGCTGAGAAGGCGCCAGGCTTCCCCAGTCACCTCCACCTGGCCACCTGTGATGCCCTCTGAAGAGACCACTCTTTCTTCTTACTGTGGGACCCCTGGGGTCCCTGAGGGCCGCACTCCAGAGCCCCTGGCATCCATCACAGTTAGCCTTTCTTGAGCCAAGCTCTCTGTGTAGGACCGTGCCCCTCTATGATCCCCTCCCCTTCTCTGTCCCCATCCCACCAAGGCCAAGGTCACACGACCAGAAGGACAAGGGCAACTGAGCCCAGGGCACCAGGGTCCTTAAGCACCTTGATTCCTGGGCCCCCTGGCTGGGGCTGGAAATAGGGGGTGACCTGGGACACCCCACCCCCACCCCTGCCTGCACTGTCCCCTCCCATAGCCAGCTCACCCTTCCGAGTCACGTCCTCTGCTGGGGCAGCTGCCTCGGGGGTGTTGCGGATGACCTTTGGGGAGGCTGGTCTGGGGGGTGCCTCAGACTCCATCCTGCTCAGGGAAGGGGAGGGTTAGGTCAGGCTTGGCCTTCTCTTAGGGGTCTCCAGGTAGAATCTGGGGTCTCCCAGGGCTTGTTCCCCATTGCCCTGTGGCTGTGTGTGGGATCTGCCCCCAGACCAGCCCTGATAGAAAAGCCAGGGTTTCACGCTGAGGCAGCACCCATGATGGTCCTGGGGCCAAGAGGGCACACTGCCTGGCAAACCTCCCCATCGCCCCTCTGTCTCTGCCTGGCCGCTGAGTGAGCTGGACAGCAGAGCAGGGTGGGAAGTAGGGGAGTGGTCCACGTGGCCATTCCTGCTACCCGGCCTGCTGGTCTCTGCTCAGGTGTCATTCCCTGGGTTCCAGTCTGTCCCCTGTTCCAGCTTCACTGTCAGTTACAGCCCTCTCCACTCTCAGACTTCACAGTTTAAGTTCATCAGCGTCTTGGTTTCTTCTCTCGCTCTCTCTCTCTCTCTCCAGTGGCCCCAGAAGGCAGGGGCACTGGTTTTTCAGGCCTGTCTGAGCAGAGGTATGGTTTGGGCCCCCCGCAGGTTGCAGCAACATGAACACCTCCCTGGCCTTTTCAGACTTTGAAATGGGAATCTCCTTTCATCCCGAAGTCCCAGGGCCTCCAACCACTCCTGGCCCATCGCAGGTGTTCAGTCGACAGCCGCTCACCCATAGAGGGCACCTGTCAGAGGCTGGGAGGCACAGGGCCTCGGGGTCTCTGTGGTAGCGGGAGACCAGTCTTTGGGATAAAAAGACCGGTCCTTACATTTTGTTAGGTACAGATGGTGTGCTGGTGTGTCTCCGGGGCCAGGCCCCGGGCCTGGAAAATCCCTTAGTTCTTACCTTTCCTTGGGAGTGGCTGAGGCTGGAAGCTGAACAGCTGGGGTGGTGGCCAGGGTGGCACCCGGGGTAGTGGCTGGGGTGGCACCCGGGGGGGGGGCCGGGGGCAGCCCGGCTGTGTGTGGAATCTCCTCCGAGGCCGGCCTGCTGCTGACCTTGTCGAGGGCAGTGAGGCTCGAGAACAGGCC